TGTGAAATGAATCTCTAAATTTATACTTATTGAGAGCATGCAGTACAGGAGCCATTAGAAAGTCAACATTTGCAAAATAGCAAATAGATATCAATTAAGTAACAAAGTGTTGGTGATAACTGTGGTAAGCTGAGATGCCACAGGATGGCAAGCATTAGAAAACACCTACATTTCAGCGGGGATCATTACAGCACATCCTTTTTGAAGTATGAACTACAAATTGTGGTCAGGTGCTATTGAGTTTGTGATAGCAGTACCACTCATAAGAGACGTGACATACAAAATAACTTAGTGTTTAATATAATAATTTTCAGACTCTTTGAAAAAGAAAAAAAATGGACATCTTGGGTAGAGACTAATATTGGAACATTCTGATGGAAAATTTAGGGATGCCTTCTGTAAACTGAGAGTTACTCTCCCTGCTGTTAACTTCAGCTAAAGATACTTAGGTCTCTAGATCAAGATGAGAAGCAATACCAATGGTGTTTACTGACATGGACTTTATAAAATCGCAGTATTTCAATATAATAAGTAATAAGAACTGTAAGTTACTTTTTATCCATCAAACTGATATACTTTTTTTTTTTTTTTTTTAGAATCAGTAGCAACTTTGTGACAACCAAAGTTTAAAAAATGCACTTGATTGCATAGTGACAGATTTGCAGAACATTTTTCATCACACACACATATGTGCTTTCAGTTATTAATAAAATGCTTCTGCCCTTAATCTGCTGTTGCCTGAATATACAATTTCAGTGACTTGGATAGACAAACACTGTTAAGGAATTCTGTTTTCACTGTTTGAGATGCAATTCAAATACACCCAGCAAAACCGAATACTGTTTCTTTAAAACTGGCTTCTGAATGCCACAGAAAGGAATACCGAATCATTTTTCTACATAGTCCCCAAGGAATGATTAGAAAACTTTCTTTTCTTCCCCTGTCCTCCTTTTCTTTTTCCTCCGTTTCAGACAAGGAAGAGCCAGCTGCCATGGATAGCACCACAGGTAGATATTAAAACGGAGACAGCCATTATTTAGTGGCGACAGGAATATAAATACATGCACTAACCTATAAACCGGTGTTTACTTCAGGAAAGTAAGTCGTATTTTTCCTCTGATTGCTGTGCTGTCAGTTTAATGCAGCGTAAATAAACAGTAGGTGCATGATAGCTTTAAGTAGAAAGTGTTCATTCCATAAGAGGAGCAGATTACTGAAGCCTGATGCCTATAATGGCAAAAGCAGAACTCCCATTTTACCTGGAAATATAGCATTTCGTGCTAAGAGGCTTGTGGCTTTTCTATTAAATTAATTTGTCAAAATTCTATGAAAAATATTACATACCCAACAAACTTAACCAAAAACATTCATTTTTGCAGCCCTCAACTTGAACCATTTGAAAAAACAAAAGCCAATCACTCCTGTGTAATTTCATCATCCCATTGCTCTAAATGAAAGCTTTATATAATCAAGCTAATATAACAGAAAATAAAATGATATATAGAATTGCCCATACTTTGAGTTATTTTGTTCTTACAAATATATTCCCCGACTGAAAGTAAAAAAATTCCCCTTTGGAAAAAGCAATGATTTCTGAGAAGATTGTATATACACTCTACATCTATTAACATAAATTATAAGAAAGTAAAATGTTCCAGATGTGTTTAAACTGTTGTGAAAGGAAAGTTTGTGGCTTCATTGGATATATATTAAATATATCTAGAGAGAGCAATGGCAGTTATGTACGAGAAGGCAATAAAATGCTTCAGTAGTGTCTATGCTAAAATAGCTTAGTTCCTAGAAATGCGGCTAACATTTTAAAAGTCACATTCCTTCCATTTTTAATTCAGAAATCTACTTTTAATATATATCTCTAATATATTTTTTCTATATAAGATAATCTATTTTATTAATAAAATAATCTCCTTGATTTTTTTCCTCCAAAGTACAACTTGAAACCTTACAAATTTTTCTGACAATGATTTAAAAATGACTAAAAAATAGATGACAATAAAAAGGTGCCATCACTTCCAAAGAACACCAGACTTCAACCGGCATCTCCTCAACTGCAACCGCACGCATCTGAACCCCTTTATCCCCCAAACCTGAAATGTAAGATGAGTCAGTGCTCGCTCAGGACTTTCCCACCGTTACGAGGTTTTCAGGTTGAAGGCTGGGACGGACGTGCCAGTGGTCCCACAGGACGGAGGCTGTGGTGCTACCGGGCAGTGGCAGGGCCGCTCTTGGCTGTGAAGCGCAGCCACAGAGGGCAAATGCTCATCAGCTGCCCCGCAGGGCCTACGCTGCGCAATGAGAGATGCTCTGCTCACACACAGCTCTGGGCTCGTGTGGCACAGCCTCTATCTGGCAGAGCAGCGTGTCCCATTTGTGAGTTACGGGTTGGCTTGGCTTTGCAGCGCTTTCTGGGAGCGTGCAGCAGGTTAGGGTTGGTGCGTGCTGCTGAAATAACAGGAGAGGAGAAACCGAGACAGCCACTTTCCTATTTAAAGTGTTAGCAACAAAGAATATAAAAAGGAAACAGCTCATTTTACAAAGTGTACACACAAAAAGCATTCCATTTAAATATTTTTTGTTCCAGTAAACTCTTTTGCATACAAAGGACTTATTTATTACATATTTGAACTTGTGGGAAAAAGGGAAGGAATGCACTGATTCCTGAAATAACTCTACACTCTGCTTGGAGACTTCGCTATTCTGTGCCCTTGTTCTACTCCGAACAATGTTACTCCAGGGATGAAGGAATTCCTGGGAGTAGGTTGTAGCTTTTCCACTAGCTGTTTGTATTCAAGAGTGGGCACGCACAACACACCAGCCCATGATCTTAATTTTTCTTCCACTGCCTCATGATGTGTGCGTGCTGTTTGTTCAGATGCATGCCTATGCGTTAACACATTACATTTCTGCTTGCTCATTTTGCTACCTGCTCTGCGTTATTGCTGTGCAAACCATTGCTTTGACTTGGAAAGTGAGGCAATGCCAATAACAATCTCAAATAGAGAACGAATTAGAAAATGAGTGGATATACAAATGTATTACAGAGCATATAGGAATACGAGAGCACTCTACAATTCTACAGATAGTGCTGCAGACTAAGAGGAAGGTGCAAGCAACAAAGAACATCCTATATTCACATCCTTATACTCTACGGTTACTGTTTTAAGTTGGCTTTGAATAGTGTGCCTGATTTGCCACATTTCTATCTGGTGATTGTGTTGAATGCTTGAGGAGATAGTGAAAGATCCAAGCACTCCTTGTGCTAACTACCGCTGAAATTTTACACTTATTGTAACCTTTCCTAACAATGTGAGAAAAACAGAGTAAATATATTAAACTTGTTTTACAACAGATGCTTAGGTTGTTAATATTTAAGATGCCTATTCATGCTATTCCTGTCTGCACATTTGTCAAAAATGTAAGCTTGAATGCTAATGTTTGCCAGCAGACTACAGCAGACAAATATACGAATGCACTGTGCTGAAATAATTGGAAGTAGAAGTAAAGGGCTGCTGCTGCCCAGGTGGCAGGGAGCAGGGGGACAGGGCAGGGCGCTGCCTGACCACACGCCTTCAGCATCTGCATCCTGAATTTGGGAATTCTGTGCACAGAAGCACCGTGCTCAGTTGGACTGACTAAAGCCAGTAGAAAGCTTTCGTCATTTGCAACTCGTTTCGGCTTAGGAGCTGGTGCAAAGTATTTCAGCAAACTTGCATTTTAGCGAAGTTTCTCCAGGAGTGAGAAGCCCGCAACCCGGCACAGGGAAACTCCGAGCCGGGCAGGTGCCTGTCGGGAGCGCTTCCCGGGCAGCGAGCGCAGACAGCGACCAAAGCGCGCCGATGTGAGCCAAACCTCGGCTGCCGGGTTCGGAAACGGAAAAAAAAAAATAAATAAATAAAAATGAAAATAAAATCCCGGAGCGTAGCGACGAACTGTTGGCACCGTTCCCCGCGGCAGCAGCAGCGCCGGGTCGTGCCACGGGTAGGCGAGGGGGAACGCTTTCCGGACGGTCCCTCCGCCGCTCTACTCGGGGCTCGGCTCCCCGCAGCCGCCCGCGCACCCTCCGCGCCCCGCGGAAGTCCTCAACCCATCCCGGACCGCGAGCCGTCGAGGCTGCCACCGGCCCCGCTTCCAGCGGCAGAGAAGAGCGCGGGGCCGCGGAAAAACTTTGCCAAACTTTTCGGGTTTTTCCTTTTCTTCCATCTGCCCCATCCCCGCTCCCCCCTCCCGTGACGGAGGCGGCGGGCCGGCGCGCGGAGCGGGGCCGGTGGCCGGGAGCGGCGCGGCGGCAGGTGTGCGTCCCGCTGCGGGAGGCTGCGCCTCCGCACGAAGCCCCCCCCGCCCGCGCCCCCCGCCCGGCCCCTGCCCCTTCAGGACCCGCTGCGGCTGCCCCCGTCCCCCCGTCCCCGAAGAGAGACGCCGAAGGAGCGGGAGCGACTCACTCATGGGAGCGCGGCGGGCGAGGCCGGCGACACCTCCGGCTTCCGAGGCGCCGGCGAAGTTAATTGCACTGAAGTTCAAGTTGTCTTTTCACCCATCAGGAGTGGGCGTTTAAAGGAAGGAGAACGAGGAGGAGGAGGGGGAGGGGGGAGAGCCTTTCTCGCTCTCGCTCGCTCTCGCTCTCGCACACACACACACACACACACACACGCACACACACACACACAGACGCGCACAGACGCGCACACAGACACACGCGCACAGACGCACACGCACGGCCGCTCCCGCGCTGCCTCGGCAGGAGGAGCCCGGCCGGAACGCACCAGGGCAGCACCAGGTACCAGCGCGGGGCAGTCCTGCCCGTGCGTGTGCGTGGATCGCTGCGCGTGTGCCCGCGGCCCCCCCACCCCCGCCGCCGCCTCGCACGGCCCCTCCGGGCGGGGACGGGCGCGCTGCCCCGGGGGGGGCGGAGGGGCGGCGGGCACAGCGCGACCGCGGGGCTCCGCGCTTTACGCTTCCCTCTGCGTGCCGCGGCGGGGGGGCAGCAATGAGAAGGGGTGCGGGGACCAAGCGGCGGCAGCTGGAGCGCGGCGGCTGCGCGCGCGCGAGTGTGTGTGTATGTGTTTGTGCATGTATGTGTGCATGTGTGTGTGCATGTGTGTGTATGTGTGTGTGTATGCGTGTGTGTGCCCCCCCGCCGAACGGGGAGTCAGGTGGGACACACACACACGCTCTCACGCAGCCCCCCCCCCCCTCTGTCTCTGCACTCCCTGCCCCTTCCCCGCTTTCCTCCTTTGCCTTCTTCCTTCCCTCGCTCCTTTATTTATTTCCATGCCCGCTCCCCGCCGCTGCCCCTCGCAACCCCTCCCGGGCAGAGACCTCCGAAACGCGGTGGCGACCTCCCGGGACGGGGCCTTGCTGCATAAGGGCACGCAGCCCCCGGGGTGGCCACCCCGTCAGGTTCCGCCGCGCCGCGCGTTGTCGGGAGCTGCGCATCAGCCCCACACCCCGGTCTCGGCTGCTGTGTCACCTGGCACCATGTGCTCCTCAACAGCGCTGTTTGAGAATTGTCTTTATTCGTGGAACTTCTCCGTGGAGAGGGACTTTTTTCTTTTGTTTTTTTAAGCCCTTCTTTCCCATCTTTGCCACTGCACAATTTGGATGTGGAGTTCCTGGAAAGTGAACGCTGGCAATGAGTGCAGCTTTCCCTGAAAGCTGAGGCTGCTGCTTATTGCCTATTGAGAATAGAGGGGACCGTGGATGTCAGCTCCATCTTTTTTTTCTTTTTTTTTTTTTTTTTTTTTTTTTTTTTTTTTTTTCTTTTTTCTTTTATTTTGACTTTCAGGCATATTTCCTCTTCCTGCTCTGGGAATTGGCAGATACAGTTCCTGTAGGCAACTTTGCATCAAGACAGAGACTGTGGAGTCGATACCTCAATGCTTTTCTTAGCTGTGCACTTCTATTAATTGGTGTTAGAAAGTGCAACCTTGTAGCACAGTTATTGAATAATCATTAATCTGTGGAGGATACACAAGCCCAAAGGTTAATAATAACAATTAATAATAGTGACTTTGCTAGCAGGGAGACTATTTTCTCATAGTTATTAAAAGGCACTCCCATTTATGCTATGTATGGAGAGGTGAATTTGGCCCTGGCGTGCTGTGTACCACATTACTGCAGCAAGCCCACAGATGAATCCTTCCCATTATCTCCATGCTGTCAGGCCTCTCACTTTTTCTCCCTTTAAAATGTATCAAGCACTGCTCTCATTTTAAATAGAAATGCTCAAGCTTTAATCAATTCTGACATTTCCACTGGAAAATAACATTTAGCTCTCTTACATAGATAAAAATTTATTTGCCTACAGCTGGTCTGCTGCAGTGCTTTGGACCTATTTGCTTCTCAGAGAAGAGTTGGCTTTTCATGGTCTCTAGGTACCATGGGGCAATAAATAGAAAGTCAGTGCAAGGGAAATGTTCACACTTTTGCAGGCACAACATTCCACTGCCTCCTCGCTGAGCTCTTCAGTCTGCCTAACCAGCATGCTCCTGTTGTCCAAGACCCGTCTCCTTTATTTGTATCACACCCCTGTCTGGCTGGTCAGTGAATCCTAATAATAATCGTGTTTCATGTCTCAGAAATCTAATAATCAAGTTACTCATTCGTATAAATTGCAACTAAGCTGTTTGGGTTCGTTGTTCTATCCCCACTTTAAAGGCAGGGAAACTGAAACAGGAAAATTAACGCATTTGCCCGAGGCCACACTTGGATTTAAGAGTAGGTCCAGCACAGGAACTGAGTTCTGTATTTAGACCATGCTTCCTCTTAAAGATTCTGAAGCACACTGTAGAAAATGTTTTTAAAGAAAGGAATGTAGTATAAACCATATTTTTCATTGACTTTGTATACTAGTCAAATCCAATTCCTTTTTTTTTTTTTTTAAATATATATTGTGTTTCTTTTTCTAAACACAAGATTTATTTGACTTTTGACAAAGCATGGTGGTACCTTTCAGTTGCAGTCAGCTTACTGTGGAAACAAGAAGCATTTACTATGAGATTGTGAGCAGTAATGGGAACAGAATTGCTTGTTGTTAGGTTATTGTAAACAATATCCATTGGATGTTACGGTGTAGTTGTAGGCCAGCACAACATAATGAGAAGTTCAGCATTAGTATAGATAAGGTGCTCTTGCTTACCTGGTATGCATCAGTTTCCACTGTAATTCTCCTTCAGTGCTTTCAGCAGCAAAATACTTAGTGTGGCTTTAAGCACTGAAAAACATGTGGGACAACCATATACCATGAAAGTTATGATTTATATCATTAAGCAGTGAGTTTTGCAGAGTTGTGTCACTCATGTCAATGAAGCAAGAAGTATTCTGCCGGCCCTTTAGCTGTGGCATGTCATCAAAGCTATATTATGGTATGACTGAGCGCAGATGGCATGTCTAAAAAGCAGGTGTACAATATAACTTTCATATTACTGACACGTAGATATTTCCTCTTCCTCAATGTCCATTCCCAGATGTTTGCTTGCCCAGACTTCTACAGGAACTATAGAAAGTCCTGCTCATCCCTCATGTCTGGATTTGTATCGTCAAAACCCGTACAGAATATGTGCTTACATATATTTGTATGCATTTATGCTGACAGCTCCTTTCTGAGTTTTTTTTCAGGGTCCTGATTTGAGGAAAGTGGATGCAGATCTCACTCAAATAATCTTTCTCCAATACCATCAACATTGCCTGCCAAAAATAAAAGTGGCATATGAATCACAATAATTCACTCATGATTTGGTGGATTTAAAGCCTGCGAAGGAGCATTAGAAATCCACATGATGTTCCTGAGTTTTATGGACTTCGAGTGGTGGTAAAAGGATATTTAGCCAAGGACCTATCTTATACGTACTGCAGATCTATCACGTATTCAAGTGAAGGGCAATATTAATGAAACTATCTCTGTTCAAATGTTTATCTTTCAGGTGAGGTGACGAAACTGTTGAATCTGCAGACTGAAACCATCGGAAGCCTTTTCTGAGGTGCCCCTTACCGAAATGTTACTATGGCATAATGATTTGGAAATAAGTTTTGTGTGAGAAGAGCTATCAGATCCCCTGGGAAACATTACAGATACTTTTCAGTTCCTTTCAGACATGTAAATATGTTTAGACATGAGCAGAAAGTAGAGCTGGGGAGTGGAGTAGGGCAGGGAGTAGGGTGGGGTTAAAAGCTTCCTCATAGATCCTGGAACCAAATAAACATCTGTTTTTTTTCTTCTTATCTGATGTTAGCTGGAGCTTGAAATGGTCAATATTAAGAAGAAACACCGCATAAATGTGTGTATATGTAAGAGTTATGTTGACCCATGATTAAAAGAGAAGGTCGTCTTCTGCCATTCATCACAGGTAATCAACAGAATGCTCATAATGCTCAGATGCTTGCACTGATCCCAAGAAATACAAACCTTATAAAGTATGACTTGTTTCCAGCTCATAGTGTGCAGCTATAACACTGAAAACTGTTGCATGCTACCTAGCATTTGTCATGATTTTTTGCTTTCTTCATGATTTGTTTTAAGCTAAGCACATCAGAAACTAAAGAAAACATTTGAGGTTTTTTTCCCCTCTTAACCTACAAGAACAGTAGACTGACTTCTGTAACGTGCTCATGTGCTATTACCTCTGAAACAGAGCAAGAAGACTGCTCACTAGGAAGGTCTGCCCATTACTGTCCAGCTGCCTAATGACATGTTAAGACTTGGTTTCAGTAACTGTGCTCCAACCAGTATTACTGTAATTGGTTGCAGTTGAAGATGTCAGTAAAAAAATACAACCAGGCTGGAGTGTCCTATGCATATTTTAAATGCAAATGGACATTATCAACTGTATCATAACTTTATCTGATGTCTGATTTCAGTGGTGGCTCTGTGGAAAAGACTCAGATAACTTTTTCTGAACACAGCCACCCCTTTCAGTGCCATTTCTGCAGTCTTTCGATTAGACACCAATCTCCTGAACTTATGCCTGTGTCATCCCACTACCTGTGTCTCTCCAAAAACATATCTTCATTCAAAGGGTATCATGCTAGTAATATAACAAATTCATCTGTCCTTCTGCAGACTGGCTTCAGTTTCTTCCAGCCATTCACTGGAGGTGCTTGTTTCTAGGCCCTGATGCTGCACAGTACCTCAATCCATTCAGCTTCTCTTCAAGATGGTAACTACTTTCCGCTCCACGTATCTGCTGCGGAAGATCTTGTGATTACCTGAAAAAGTGAATTGCATCCTGTAGATTTCCCCTTAAAACTTTTGCTTCACAGAAAAGTTCAGCTTGTGACAGATGCGTCAGTGATGTGAGACTCACTTCTCTGTTGCCTAATTGCCCTCTCCACCTTCTGTCAATCTGAAACTTTCATTTTGGAAAGGATTGAAGGAGTTGTATTAATATTTGTGCTAGCCACTATTTTTCCTGCACATTTTCTCCTTTCCTTTGGTGTCTGGTTTGTCTTGGCTGCTTCTAAAAATTCTGTTGCCTCTAGTAAGGGACTGCCAGATTAAACCAGTACAGAGAAGCCAGGTGACTGTCTACTTTTACAAATATAGGTTGTGTATAATAAATTCAGGTTTTACATCTATGCAAATGAAGTCATCATATGATTCTGACTACATGCATTTTTTTATCAAATATGGCATATATTTCACAAATTATATTTAACTTATACACATGTTGCTATTCTGAATACCTGACTAGGAATTGCAAAGTGTGCCACCAGATCTTAGTAAATGGGCTTATGGAACAAGAAGAAATAAGGGAAAATCACCTCTTTTCCTTGCATTATGGACAAGTCCAGTGTAAGGGCTATTCCTAATCTAGATGGCAATATAAACACCACAGAGATGTTCAGAGGTACATCTTTTTGTTGGGAATTAAAGAATTTACAAATAATAAAACAAAATGCCCTAAAAAAAGGAAGTTTTAAAGTAATGTGTCTTTGGTCTAGTGTTTGTCACAGCTACTTGGTATGGCCTTCCTCTAATGTTTCAGTCATGCAGAATAAGACATTAGTCACAGTGTCAAAATAAGCATGTTACTTCTGCAAAAATGTATTTTCACCTCAGGAATATTGTGAAGTGAAAATAGGATTTAGCACAATTCTTCCTTTTGAGTTTTTCTACAGACAGGACAGTTTAGTGATACACAGATAGTGTAAAGTTCTAAATCTTGCAAGATGATCCCCAACTGCAGGTATGACACACCTGGAAGAATCTGCCAACTGAGTGCTGGCTAGGATTAAGCTGAAAAGGCAAGAACTCAGTGCTTTCAGTGTTAACTGTCCTCAACATCTGCTGGTTTGGTTTTTTTTTGTTGTTGTTGGGTTGTTTTTTTTTTGTTTCTTTCTTTCTTTCTTTCTTTCTGTCTTTTCAAATAAATAAACAAATATTTTGTTGAGCTCAAGATGTCTCTGTCAGTATTTATATTTCAGACTGTAGGATAATCTGAATGGAGTGAAATGTGCAATTCAAGTGGAATTGAGGTGCAATCCAGAAAACTTCTGCTAAACAGAGGCAGTTGCTAAACCTCAGAGCAGTACATTAGTCCTCATAATTCATCCTTTTCCATCTGGGAATCCCAGGCTACCTTTTGGGCCTGCTCATGCCCAAGTCCTCTGGTCCCCAGCTCTATGATGTTTCGTTCCTCCTCTCAAATCACCTCATTGGCACAACCTGACCCCTTCTCCTTGGGCTTCCCTTTTTAAATATATATATATTTTTATTTTATCTGTATTTTTTAATTGAGGGTGGTGTGTATGTTCCACAGCAATTTCAGATAGAGTGGACAGAAATAATCCCAGGAAAATTCAGCTTATGTTCCAACCCTGAGAACAACCTAAACATTAGATTATGATCTAAGGAATCCTGAATTTGTTGTGGGGCCTCAAGGGCACTGTTTCAGTAGAAGGGTCAAGAATGCTTTTTCTAAAATAGCCATCAGACTGATGGTCAGAGTCTTTCCCTGGGGGAGAGGAGTGTGCCTTTCAGGGCAAGAGCAATGAATCCCATGATTTTCTGACTGCTCTAATCACAGAGTTGTTATACAGAGGGAGATGAGAAGCCAGCTTCTCCTCTAGCTATGTTTTAATGAAACATCAGTTTTGAAGGAAAGATCACAGGAACCTATTTTCATACAAAGAATCAGGGTGTAGATTCTGAGTGGATGGAGGCATCTTTCAGACAGCCCTGGGTTTGTAAAGCTCTGTAAAGAGCCCTGTCTTTACAGGTAGCCCTCAGGTAAAGGCCTGGCTTTAGAAGAAGGCAGTACTTTGTATTTGGGACAAATCTGAGTTTTTTCTCTGTTAGTGCCAGTCAGCCTATGTTGGGCTCAAAACACAACGTGCTGGCTGTTTTCCAGGCTGCCTAAGCCTCTCTGTATGCACAACACTTTAGAAACATGGTTCTGGATATCAGATACAGGACCATGGACTTGAATAACAGGATGCTGGAACACCAAGGTTTTGTAGCACCAGAATTCTTTGCTGGATTCCACCATAAATCATATAAATTAGTATCTGTTTGTTCATAGCAGTTGGTTCCTTATCAACACCAATACTTAATGCCTGTTAGTAACTGTTCTCTCAGTAGATTTTATGGTCCGTTTTAATTTTGTATCACAAAGGACAGCACAGAAAAAAATGCTGGACTGAGTATAATTTATAATGAAAACTCTCACTGTGTTTCCCATTAGAAATGGTAACAGTTAAGACACTCATATTGGCTTGAATTCTCTAGGCTACAAGGTTCAGTTTATGTATTTGTGGAAGCTAACTAAACTAAACTAAAAAGTTATATGCTTCTAACACTTTTTAATTTTTTTTTTTTTTTTTAGGAAAAGTACAGTGCAATTCAAAGTTGCTTATTTCTCATTTAAAAAATCATTTTATCACTTGGTCTACTTGCAAACTCCTCAAATCAGGGAGCAACATACTTTTGAGAAAATGATGACAAAATGACAACAGCACAGAGCACAGATTAACCCTGCCACATCATAGCTGGCTGCTTTTGACACGTACAGGATGTATGGGCACAGTTCAGACAATTTGTCACGTGTGTTTCCTTCCCCAAACCTGCATGATATAGCTGAAGAGGAGGTTACAAAAGCTGTCCTGAAAGCCTCCCACTTGTGATCTGCATCCTACAACATGGAATATTCTAAATATCATGGGCTTTCCCTAGCTAACAAGCTGGTTATACTGGCTATGCATAGAGATACAGATTTGGGTCTTAATTAGCATCTGCAGTTTAATCAAACCATTTATGATCCTGAGAAATCTGAACTGTGGTCTTTCTGGTTTTTTCTGATGACAGACAAATATCATAAACAAAAAGGAATTAAAATAATGGTTTAATAAATAAAGCATTTGCAGCAGCCTATGGTTGTGACAACTTTCCTGAAAAAGTAGGAGGTTTGAAGCTCTGTTTTTTCAGTGTCTGAATAAGATTTTAAAGATAGTAGACGCAAGAATAACACACTAGGGAACTCACAAAAGTTTTTGTAGTTTAAGTTTAATCAGTATTCAATTTAATTTCATTGCAACTAACTCTCTCTCAGTGACAATGCTGTAAATCTCCGGCTAGGCTTAGTTTAATCATAAAAGAAGTTGGCCCAGGAGAAAATCAGGAATAAATTGCCATGAAAGTGGATTGGCCTGTTCAGTCTGGTGACCTAGTGAAACAGCACAGGACTTTATAATCTTTGGCGCAGACAGGTCTTCATTGTTAGAGGAAGCAGGAAGTGTAAAGAAGGCTGTAATTGCATATTCTTTAATAAGAAATATAATTGTTGCTTTCTCCAAGCAGATCTCAGACAGATTTTAATAGTGAGCGCACACTGAAAAGTCTCTGAAACACACCCTTCCTTCCTAATTTGTTCATATACACTGATATATTCTAATGTATTTACACCCTCTACAAACTTAGTCCACGTAGAGCATTTCTGATGTGCAGTGTAACTCTTTTTTGCTTTTAGATCACCTATTATGTAGAGAAATATAATGGAGCATGACTCAGTAAGAAAGTCCAAAATATGTGTTTGTTTTCATACTTTGAAGTTTCTGTCTTAAAATAAGTGTTTATTATTAACATGATTATAGTGATTGGAGTCTTTACTGAAGCGTCAGGACTGTGCTATCTTTCATATTCACTGAATCAGTTCCAGTTGTGCACAATGATTTAAAAAACAAAACAAAACAAAATAAAAATCAAGCAGTTTTTGTTTCAAGAAACTTTGAATTAGCAGTGATGTAGTATAATTTTCTGTGTTGAATTTGAAGGAATCACTTATTGTTTTGAACTAGTAAGGAGAATAAGTCTTGGGCAGTATGAGGAAAAGCAGTGTTACACAAAATGTATTGTAACTACAGAGCATGAACTTCATCAAAAACAGACATGAGCTTCTTCTAGCAGAGTTTTGTCTGTGGTTAAATGCAGTTTTCCTTATTTCTTCACATTCTATACTCTTGTTCTAGTCATTACAAAACAACTGCTTGTTTTAATTGGCAGTAGGTGCAAGGCTTCCTGTCAACCATGGTAACAGAGGCTTGAGATTTACAAATGATTGTTTAGTTTTTATCAAACTCTCTTGATCTATACAGTTAAGCAAAAACATACTATACTTTGGAAATGAGTTCAGCAGTGACTGTCCTTCAGAAACTCTGCTATGGATTGTTCTGCAGTGCCACAGACAGCTTTTTTCAGGACAATTAAGATCACAGACACATGTTCTGTTGAATATCATGTTTTAAAAAGCATAATTCTTATTTCTGGGAAATGCAAAGTGAAGAAAACATTAGCTTTTCCTCCCAGGAGTCTCATTTCTTCAGCTTATTTATAAAACAGATACCCCACCAAGACAGTGGACTTCTAACGCTATGCATGATGATGCAACTGCAGAACAATCGGCTCGAAAACGTTAAAGAATTCAGGGTTCATGCACATTTTTGTTTTATTTATTTAAAAAAAAAAAAAAGGAAAACAAAAAGGAAAGGAATAAGGAAAGGAGAGAGAAGAGAAGAGAAGAGAAGAGAAGAGAAGAGAAGAGAAGAGAAGAGAAGAGAAGAGAAGAGAAGAGAAGAGAAGAGAAGAGAAGAGAAGAGAAGAGAAGAGAAGAGAAGAGAAGAGAAGAGAAGAGAAGAGAAGAGAAGAGAAGAGAAGAGAAGAGAAGAGAAGAGAAGAGAAGAGAAGAGAAGAGAAGAGAAGAGAAGAGAAGAGAAGAGAAGAGAAGAGAAGAGAAGAGAAGAGAAGAGAAG